TTCTGGTATATATCTGCTGTTTGCATTATTGTTCAATGAAAATAACATAATTATTCTTTTATTGTAAAAGTATTACAGATAATTCGTGACACAGATCCAGTTGGGCTTGCTATTAATAGCTGCTATGATGACTGTGAGCCGATGCTCCCCCTCCATGTTGTCACACATGCTAACAGTGGACAAGATAGGCGGGGCTCAGTTGCTTGTCACTGCTGATTTGTTCCAGAAGCGTGATCCATATGAGCTCGTCTGCATATTTAAACAGAGTCGTGTCAGGGGAGATGTTACAGCTGCTCTCTGTTCCACGTTTGTTGGGATGTATAAAAAAAGGGGTTCAGAAACATGCACAGTTTGATACATCTGAATTTATTTGTGTGGCGCACTTTTCTAAATCTGTCCATTCGCCAACTTTTAGTGTGAAAGCTGTGCACTCCTTTCTCCATGAGGCCCCAGAAGAGCAGAGGTTAAGGGAGGAGTGGGACGATGGAGCAGGTTGGTAGCATGGGGCTTGGTTATGGAGGGCTTTGTGGGTTAGAAGGCAGACTTTGAAATGGATGTGCAGACAGGGAGCCGTTGAAGGTTCTGGAGAACACGTGATTCAACGCTCAGGCAGGGAGTTGTTGCAGGTCCTCTGGCCCAGATCATCAGGCAGCTTCAGTTGTGGTTGATCGGCACATCTGTGTCCCATGAACTGCAAGATGGTGAATAGTGGAATCAGAAGCAACTGAAATCCTCCCAAAAGCAATTTTTGCACGTTGTTGTTCAATCCTCTCAAACGGAAACCATCTAGACATGACTCATACTGAATCTGACAGTTATGAAATTGTGAAATTGACAGTTGTGAAATTTTCAAGGAATGCACATGAAAGCTCTGCTGCCCAATCTAACCAGTGATTCCAATCCATCAGCATGGGTTTGAGTCAAGTCACCATCTCTGAGGGGACCTGCAGGGTCAGCTGTAGAGCTGGAGAAAGAGGTGGGAAAAGGGAACATCAGCAAGCTTTGCACTAAACACACTTAAAACAAATCATTGTTGGCAGCAGAGGAGCATTAGCTGATAGGACCCTCTTCTGTGGAAGAAAAGCAGCTCCACTCAAGTTGCCGTGAAAGGACAGGGCTGGCAGCAGCAACATACACATTTTGGAGGCAAAGCAGTGTCTAAATGGCATTAATGAGCTACTGAATTTAAAAAAAAAAAGTTTAGCAGGTCCTCTGGACGAGTTCTTTGTTAAAAAAAAAAAGCTGTTGAATTGTTTTAGTTCATTACTGTAACTCTGCCAAAATGGTCTAGGTTCAGATCCAGGGTCTTCATTTTCACCTGGGGGTTGGCTAGAGTTCTGCTTGGGTTTCTTGTCTGCTTTCAAGAAAGCCCAGTGAGGATAAACAAGTTGCTCTGGGGCCTGTCTTGTGATTTTGCCTTCTTCTTAGCTCATGGATTTGTGGAGCCAGGGAGAAGGATAAAGGAGAAATCAACAGGCCCTGGAGCAATTATTTATAATTTATCATATTAATAAATTTTAGGAAGAAAATCTACCATAAATTTAACAGAAGTTCAAATAATATATTTTTCCGATTCAGGGACTATGAAATCACTAGACTGATCATTAGCATTTGCCCTTTTCCCTCCGGATCATCAGGTGCTGCTGTCAAACTTTTTTTTTTACATTTTTTTTTTTACTTGCGGTCAGGATTTCACTTCTGCGTACACAACACTAGTCTACCAATACCCCAAGATGCACTAAGTAATTTTTCCCTCACACCCTCCTTTCACTACACCCAGGCACCACAAATGCGCACTTGCAGCACTCAGTGCAATGTCGCTCTGAACATGCATTCAGACTAAATAAATAAATAAATAAATAAATAAATAAATAAATAAATAAATAAATAAATAAATAAATAAAAATTTAAATGCACTGCTGGAGCAGCTTCTTTTCTGCACAACAGATGACAGCTAACAGTTCATATCACAGATAAATGTTAAGCAATAGTACTCACTGCAACTTAAATGTGTGTTGATGACTTACAAATATATTCGCTATCACGTGTTGAACAGTTTGCTTAAAAATATACAAGTGCAGTTAGTTTTACTGCTTTTCTTAAAACAGTCATTGTCTTTGGTAAATGATAACAGACCTCCAATAAACGTCTAACAGTTAGCACATGCATGCAAGGATTATGTGATTCATGTACTGTAACTCATTCCCCCCCCCCCCCCACCAGTGACATCATTTATAATTTTCTTTCAGTTTTTAACACTTTCAACACAATAAAAGAAAAATCTGTTGAAAAAAAAACATTGCACTGTTATTTTGCTTTCCAGAACAAAATAGTTGGAATTCAATAAAATAGTCTCCTATCAAAGAACCTCCTACTGAGTTCACAAAGAGACAGCAACAATTACATTTGAAAAACATCCCAATTTGAAAACAGGTTTTAAAAATTATCTTGTTTTTTTAAAATAAAAAATTAATAAACTGTAGCTAGTGTCTGATTCATAATTGACAAATGGGCCAGTGGCTCTGAAGATGTAATTAGTTAAACCTATGAGGTCAGCAGCTGGATAGACTAATTATTATAGAAATATTAATTACCGTATTTATTCATGTATAATACGATCTCATGTATAATATACGACCCTCACCTTTTTTGAGCTTAAAAAGCATAAAAATTTCAATCCTCAAACTACCTCCAATTTCATACAGACTTCAAGATTTTTCAGCCTTTGCAGTCTTTATATCAGTAAAATGATCATTGGACTGTTCATTTTATTTTAACAACATATGTACTAAAAGGTATTTTGACAACAAATATATATCAGCTGTAGCAGCATCATATGAATTCTGGCATTTTACACATAGTCCACCAGGAGGCGCCAACACAAAAGTCAGAGACTTCACATGAGATTTGGACCATCTTGTGGGGGAAAAGCAGATTACTTCCTACTCGCGAGCGCCCCCTCTGGTGGGGAAACTTTTTTCAGGGATACAAACTTTTTCAGAACACTGGTAGACGGCAGCCATTACAGATGAACATGTGTTTGTTGTTGTTCGAGGAGCGGCCCGGTCACACACTAATGTCATTAGTTTGTTATAATTACTAAGGTGCAGGAATACTCCCCCCTTTTTTCACATCATGTCACCTGCTTGGATCTGTTATTATCTCGCTCTGAAGCACAGAGGAGTGTCAGAGGTAAGGTTGTTTCAACTGATTTTTACGTCATGGTCTCATTTAAGGACTCAGGCATTTTGAGAATGAAGCCGATATTTCAGTTAAAATACATAAATAAAAATATTTATCCAAGTATAGTACAACCCCCCAACTTTGTGGATGATTTTATGGATTTAAGTTTACGTATTATACTTGAATAAATACGGTAAGTCTGAAAGAGTTTGTGAAATGAGTAAATATGACATGTTCATTTGTAAAGCTGCCTCAAACTTGACTACAGATAAATTCTGCTGGTGCATAGCGCTAGACAAAATGTTATTCAGCCCGATAGTGTCTGTTATTCATTTGTCCTGGTTTTCTGCATTCCCTGGGATTGTTTATAATTTCAGTTCAAGAGGATTTGTTTTATGATGTCTATTGAAGTGCTGCTGATTTGGCCTATGCCTTTATAACAAAAAATAAAATAAATAAAATAATAATAATGAATTGACTCATAACCAGAAACAAGTGAGTCAGGCAAAACCACATAGTACACCACACATGCTGTTAATTTATTTTCTGAACCGATTCAGTCAAGACTGTTCAAATTAAACTGGGAATCAGTGTTTGATTACAGCCTTCACCTGCTCCTATACATAAAATACATAAACATGTAAAAAAAACTATAACAATATCACATAAGTGCTTTTTAATTGGCTTGGACAATAAGAAAAAGAGTCACTCTTATATTGCAATAAACTAGAGAAATAATCAGTCCCTTTCAATCCAAAGAAACATGTATACTGTAATAACAGGTAGGTTGGTATTACCAGCATAACTCAGCACCTAAATAAAATGTTTGTGGTAATGCTTATGTGTCTACACGTAATTTTATTTGTATTTACAGTGGCCACATATTGTAAGTGGAAACATACTTTTAAGGAAATACGTACTTGAATGAACGGCACACCATGTAACGTTAAATAGAAATATACATACACTTTTACAAAAGCCAGGTTTTTCAAAAGTGCTGCAAACAGTGTAGAAAACAGGCAGAGATAGAGGATCACACTACAGTCTTGGACTGTAAAAGTATGTTTACACAGTTGATGGAGGTATTTGGTTAATCTTCCCCAGACCAAGAAACCATTAGAATAGGGTGTCTAATTTGATGGAACCATATCTTTTATAATGGGTTCTTTGTTCAAATAGGTGGCCCAGTAGACAAGGTTGAAAGAGCCAAAGAGAACCGGAAACATAATCCGTGACATCCTGTCAATTTTGCTCACACTGTTGAATGTCTTTTTGCTTTCCGGGGCTTTGCCATCTGCTTTTGGCTTGCTGGGATCCACAGCGCTGCCTTTGGCAATGGTGGAAAGTGTGCTGGAGTCCTTGCTGATATTAGGAGCGTAGTTGGCCACGGCCACAGCGTAGGCATTGTTCTTCTTCACCACAGACGCCTTTTCTTTCTTCTGTTAACAAGCCAAAACCACCAGTTAATGTCAAAACAGTCTGAATTTGAAATAAATGCAGATGAAATTACACATTCAAAAATGCCAAAATGAAGGTCAGTTAGGGCTACATTAGTCAACAATTTATTAGTGTGCATTCACCCATTCACACACTGACAGGGTTAAGCTACAGTGTAGCCACAGCGGCCGTGGGGCACATTGACAGAGGTGAGGTTGCCATGCACCAGCACCACCAGCAGGCAAGGCGGGTGAAGTGTCGCCCAAGGACACGACTGAGATGGATGGAACGGGGGATCGAACTGGCAACCCACTGGTTACAGGATGACTCCCCTAACCACTCTATTTTTTTACATTTACCAGACACATTAGGCGCATTTGCACAAGGTGTTAGTATCAGTTTTACAGTAGTAGAATTGGACAGGAAATCAGCAGTATAGATCATCACTAGTTTCTACAAGAACCAGAGCCTGTCCCTTTTGCTCCTTGACCAAAAGTGCCCTTTTCAAATGGTTTTTATGGGGTGCCGTTTGTAAAGTTACACAGTCAAAACTTACCACCAATATTTTTGTTTCATTTGGCCTTTTATAAGGAAAAAAATAACAGATTTATTTTTCAAAGTCAGTTTTTCACCATGTGATTCATACAGTCCCCTTGGATTGGCGGACTGGGGTGGTGGTCCCCCTGTTTAAAAAGGGGGACCGGAGGGTGTGCTCCAATTACAGGGGGGTCACACTCTTAAGCCTCCCTGGTAAGGTCTATTCAGTGGTCCTGGAGAGGAGGGTCCGTCGGATAGTCGAACCTCGGATTCAGGAAGAGCAGTGTGGTTTTCGTCCTGGAACACTGGACCAGCTCTACACCCTCAGCAGGGTCCTGGAGGGTGCATGGGAGTTCGCCCAACCGGTCTACATGTATTTTG